AAGACAATAAAATGTTATTTTATTCTCATTCTACGTGACTTTACCGAAAGAACCAAAGAAGATGATTCCCTGCAGTCACGAAAGCTTTAAATCGAAATTTAAACAGTAAAGCAGTTAGAGTTTTACCAGGTTAATAGCATCCTTCCAATGATTGCTCAATTTGTATCCACCTTCTCGGTTGAAGTTGCGTCTATGTTTATATGCCTGGACGGCTTCATGAACAAACCTTTGACAGCAGCCGGAAGGTTTGCGAAGCACCTTGGTCTCGGAGAAAACAATATCATGAGAATAAAGAATTAAAGCTTTCGCGACTGCATAAATTACTCTTTGGTTTTTTTCGGTGACTTTACCGAAAAAAAACAATGAGTAATATCATGAGAGATCAGCAATGGTCGGCAACGGCGGAATAATTCGTTTTTGCCGTGTTTCATGATGAGCTGATTGATTGAGCTCTTGACAACTGACCTTGAATTTGAACCCAAAAACAATTCCATTCAAAGTGGAACATTAACCCAACAGTGCCACCCAGTGGATGCAGTGGATTAAAAACATTGCATTTCTAAAGAGCACCTCCGATTTGAGCACGGTTGGGCCACGTACGGTGCGAAAGGAGCTCAACGTTCATAATAAAGGGTTTGGGATAGATCGCGTAAATACAAATGTGTCGTTAACCCACCACCACCCGCGATTTAACCCAAATAAACCTTTATTATTATTAATATTGGTGGCGAAAGCCTACGCGTTTAACTGAAGTTTAACATCTCCATATATATAAAGGGCAAAGTTGTGATTGTGTGTCTGTTCAAAATGTTTAGCGGACTTCCCGACATGCAACAAACTGCAAATTTGCCATGTGGGTACTTTCCAGACTGTACACCATGCAAAAATTATAAAAATACACTTTTGTTTTGGGGCGGGGGGAGCTCAATAATGCATTTTTATTGCACGGCGAGTAAGCTGTGACATCCATCTGTCACGTGACCCTCGCACGTGGAAGCGTAACGCATTGTAGTGTAGTGGTTAGCGCACTTTGTATGTCTGTGTGTCTGTGTGTGTGTTTGTCTGTGTGTGTGTGTCTGTGTCTGTGTGTGTCTGTCTGTGTCTCTGTGTGTCTGTCTGTGTGTCTGTGTGTGTGTCTGTGTGTGTGTCTGTGTGTGTGTGTCTGTCTGTGTGTGTGGAAGCGTAACGCATTGTAGTGTAGTGGTTAGCGCGCTGAGCTACGAACCCGGCGACCCGAGTTCGATTCCCGCTCACGACCACCACCGGTGACGATTATTTTAACTGCTCCTGGGCCTCTCCTAGGTCGACTCAGCCTCAAACGAGTAACTGGTGTGGTGTGTGAACATCGCCACTGGGGAGACAAAGGCGGCCGGGTGTGGTGCTGCCCACCCACCCCCCTCGGGTACCGTTCTGGGTGCTCGCTAACAGCACTTGCCCCTACAGTCTGTTAAGGCTATACGGAGGATCTTTGTCTTTGTATGCCTTTGTGAGCTGCATGTGTGTGCATGTCAGAGAAGCGCCGATTAAAAGTCAGTCAACCCATGTTTCGTGACCTCCTGCCAGCGAGCCATGCAACGCTTCACGTTGCCTTAAAGTGGACATAGCCTGGCACAAGCACCGTGGTGACGTCACCGCCACTTAGTGGCGAATGGCGATTGTTGTGTGCGTGTATTATAAGCTGCGCTCCGAACATGGCCACCCGAATTCGATTCCTCCGCACGGCCAACACCAACAGTGACGATTATCCGAGCCGGTCCTGGGCCTCCCCTAGGTCGACTCAGCCTTAAATTAATATCTGGTGCGATGTGTGAGCATCGCCACTCGGGAGACAAAGGCGGCCGGGTGTGGCACTGGTCACCCACCCACTCGTGTGCCGTGCCGGCCTTCAAAGGCCCCCAAAGTCTTTGTTCAAACCCAACTGTGTTGGCACGTGGCCATAAACATTGCTTTGTCCCCGAAACTGTTGGAGGCCCTGTTTAGTGGTAGCGAACACAAACCCAGTGCCAGCATGATCACCGCCACCCGATGCCTCCAAACCCTGCTTGAAATTAAATTTCCTGTTTGGAGGAACAGTCTCCCGAATCGAGTTGTACCACCGTATTCTTCCATCTCCTTGTCAGCTGGCTCCGAAACCTGCCGAAACTCTCAGGAGCTGTCTGCATCACCCTGAGCGTTGTGATAAAACACCTTGTGAAAGACCCAACGCAGAAGATCCCTGGGGGTCAGGGGCGGAGCCAGGATTTTCAGCCCCGAGGTGACATTCAACAAATTTTAATTTCAAGATTGATTGAATGAGAAATCGGCTATACCCCACGCCATCGGTTGGCGACACACTCTGACAATGCAGTTGCACGGAGTCCGCCAGACCGAGTGTCGTACACTTATACGCAGAATGTTTCAGATTTTCGATTTTTTATTTTTTTTCGGGGGTGACAATTGTTTACCCTGTCACCCCCTGGCTCCGCCCCTGCTGGGGGTTGATCTTCTACGAAGCTGATGGTCTGTGTCCGCACAAACCATGGCAGATGCGGATACCTGATTTACAAATTGTGATAAATTGAAAACTTTTCAGTGTGTAACGGTGGTCATCCAGAACAGATCGTACGACATGTAACAATGCAATGCCCACTCCACAAATACGAAAAAGACATCGCAGCAATACACTCCGCTACTCCTCACGTGGCTATCTGGCTTGACCACCTAAATGTTAAATTGTAGTTGTTGCATTTTCATCAGCCATACAAAAAAAAGATCATTGTTGAGCTGGTTCTGGAGTTGCTTTCATCTTGGGAGTGGCGTAAACTTGGCTGGAAGAGAATGTCGGTGGCCATGGGGAGGGCACTGGCCCGGATGCCTCAGCAGTTGGCTCACTAACCTCAGGAGTCGTCAGATGTTTCAGCGCCTCGGAGGCTGGCTCCAATACCATAAGAGGCGGCTCACAATTCCCAGGGGTCAAATTCGGCTTCTGGGTCTCGGACGTTGGTGTGACCCTGAGATGTTGTCTCTGTCCGATGATTCAGGAGCCGGCTGACAGTTCCCAGGAGCCAATAGCTGTGCTGGCATTGCAGATGACGGTGGTGGTGATTGGGGCCGGATTTAAATCTATCAGCACCGGCTGCGGCTCCTCGAAACAACATTTTTATTTTATTTTACCAGACAAGGCCCACTGAGCAATAGAACTCTTAATTCAGAAACGACCTAACAAATAATAGCCCAATGAAGTGGTTCATCATGTGGAAATGTATATCAGCCAAAAACGAAATGTATAGCAGCCAAAAACTTTAAACATCGCGAGAACCCGGAGAAAAATCCCAAACGACCACGTGTGGAAGAGCCATGCAAACTCCAAATATACAGGTGTCAAGGTCGGGGTCAAACCCACGATCCCCTGTATACCAGGCGAGGTCGTTAACATATCGCCAACGTGGTACCCCTGGGTCAGGTCACGCGAGTTGCTACTGGAGGCGATGGGGGTTTCCACGGAGGTGGTCATTGACACCCAGAACAAACGGGTGCTGCAGGGCCTCCTTGGGCGTGAGCCGGCACGCAGGATCCCACCTGCAACGAGATGAGCGAGGGTGTCGTTCGGCTCACCACCGCTCTTCATCGATTAGCTTCGACTCGTCGGGAGGGGGGGATGCTTCGTTTTCAATTGTAATACAAAATCGCATTGTCCGTAATATTTTTGGATTTAACAATGCACAAGGGCCAAACACGGTCGCCCTGATGTAACACAAATCTACCCAGTCTCGGCTAAGATTGCAACGTCATGTGCTGCTTTGTTTGTTCACGACGAGTGTTCATCGGCGTCTATTTGAATTCTCATTTCCTGAGATGATTTTGTGGACAGTGATGATGAGTCTCTGATGCCAGACATCTTTGCAAGTAAATTCTAAAAATGTCCACTCGACCCCCAGGCAGTTTATTTTGGAACGATAACCCTGCTATCGACGAAGCAGCATTTCCATGTGCTGTAGTTTTCAGGAGAAAAAAAAGAGACCAGAACCATGAACAAGGAGTTTTGTGGCAGAAAGTGAAATGAGAGGGATTTCTTGATAATGAATCGGTGAAAGCGACCCCAGATTTAATCAAATTTCATGTGCTCAATAAAAGTGGGTGGCTTCATTTCGATATGTTCAATTTTCTTTATGCAAGTCAACCACTTTTATTGAACACATTAAATTAGGTTAATACTGGTAGAAACCTCCTGGTTACACCAGCCCACAGGGGATTATTGTGTCCGTCCGTCCGTCGTGCATCCAAAAATTGGGAGGGGTGGGGCTGGGTGGGGACGAAGGGGCTGGGTGGGGAGGGGAGGGTGGGGCTGGGTTGGGGTGGGAGGGGTGGGGCTGGGTGGGGAGGGGCTGGTCACCCCGTGGTGCCCTTATAAAACTCAACGTTTAACCTACTCACGCCGGCTTGTGCCCGCCCTCACAGTCGGGCATATTTGCGGAATACACCACGTGGTGCCGCCGTTGACCCTGGTCATTGACCGAGCAACCCAACGTTCCTACCAGCACCCTCCGCAGGAATGTGTTTTAACAAACCTGAACCTATGGAGGCCGAAAACGGTCCAAGATTTGCTTGCTTAAATAAATGCTGCTGGATTAATATTGGCCGAGAAAGGCATATAAGCCAATGGACCAAAACTATGATAGCAGAATGGAGTTCTCGTACAGTAAAACCTTAGATTGCGAGTAACTTGGTCTGCGAGTGTTTTGCAAGACGAGCAAAATTTTTAAATAAATATTAATTTGATAAACGAGCAAGGTCTTGCAATACGAGTAGTACGTATAGACGCTTTGTACTGCCGAGTGTCACGTGATCACAACTGATATACGAGTGCTTTGGATTACAAACACGTTTCCGGAACGAATTATGCTCGCAATCCAAGGTTTTACTGTATATATTATTTCAGAAGCACTGCATATTTTAAATATAAAATTTCTATTTTCAATTCGTTGATTAAAAAAATATATGTATAAACAGCAAAACAGTACTCATCTCCAAGTAGATTTATTGTGAACTGCAAGTATATTTCACGCTTCAAAATTTATAAATAAATGTGTTAATTCTATTAAACGTGTTTGTGTTTTAAATGTAATCACCAATCGTATCTCAATTGTCCCATTACATGTCCAGAGTTAAATGGTGAAAAATTCTTATCAGAACCTTGCACGTCAGTAAATTAAAATTGAAAGATGACACGGGGAAAAAAGCAATAATTCTTCTACACTAAAATTGCACAATTTCATGCTTTGTAAAACATCACTTGTACATGTCAATATTACAATGAAAAATGTTACCCGTGAGATAGGGCTTGGTCCAATTGTTCTCACTAAATTTGCACGAGATATTTTTCGTAAAATAATTATCGGGGGTTGAGACCATCAACGTTTGAATACCAAATGGACATTTTTTTTCCCCCGTAATAATACATTTGGTATTCGCGTCATTCGTATAGCAAATATACTACCACGAATGTGCTATGCTTATGCTTAGTAAGCTCTACAGAACATTTACAGCTCCAGTTTCCTGCAGAATTCGCTAAAAGTCGGTGACAAGTTCAGTGTACATTATTCACGAACTTGCTATCCACGATTTTGGATTTCTGCGAATCGCATCTGGAACTCCACGCGACTGCATCGAGAGAGAAAGTGATATTAAGTAATGATGCATAGCACAATCATAATTTAAAGTAAGTTCATTTATAAACTATTATTTAATACTTTCATATGTATATTAATTTACTTCATGTTGATTATAATTTCAGTTTGTGTGTTATAATCGCATGTGTTTAATAGCTTATTCGTGTATTTAAATGAGGTAATTCATTAAAAAAAAGGCCAGCATCATAAAAAATAACTAGAAAACATGAAAAGAAGCACCGCACAAACAGCTCCAATTTGGCACAGCACTTAACAGGTCATGGAAACAATGCATTACAAATTTTTGGTCGAAGTTTTTTTGTTGTTGTTAAGACCGGAGTGAAGGAAGGCCAATAGTGATGGATGTGCAAGCTCTCGGTGGATTTGTTTGTAGATGTGTGAAGACGCCCATCTGCAGGAGCTAAGAGGTGCCTGTAGGAGACAATAAAACAAGTAGGTTTGCCAACCTATCCGCGTTAAGTTTTGAGCTTTAACCCCTCGCAGGTGTGTGCGTGTACTTTTCTGGGCACTCCGATTACAAGCCTGTGTTTCTCCGTCTTCATTTTTCATATCGGATTACTTATCCCTCCACTCAGGGATCAAATCCCACCCACCCTCAACTCCGACACTCCACCGGAGGTGCCCAGGCACTGTTGTAAGAAGATGGGCGAAATTATTTTTTTTTATAAACGATTTACAACGCGAGGATATTTTCACAAATTGGATGCAGTGTTTAATCGATAATTCGGGAGACGCGGCGCCAGAGCTCAAAGTCCCCTCATGCGCCAGCTTGAACAGGTGACAGCCAGAACAGGCGAGGCTTGACCTGCTGCTTGAAGGTGCATAGAGGTGCTTGGCTGCTGCGTATGCGCAGTGCGGAGGGAGTTCCAGATGGCTGCTGGTGCAGCTATGGGGAAACGCCGTTCACCCAGGGCGGTCCCCGGTTCTGGACACAATGAGCTGGTTGTTGGTTGAACTCCATGGGACGTGGTGGTTAGCCGTGGTTGGTGGAGTGAGGAGGGTGGGGAGAGGGATGGTGGGAGACGTTGAAAAAGAAGTCGGTGACGCGAGTCAGTGATTCCGTATTGCATCTTTGATTTGATGGGCAGCCAGTGGCAAAGTTTTTCGCATAGCTACGGAAGCCATAACACGGAGAACGGCGCGCGACAAGTTGTTGTGAAGCCGCCCTCGTTCGTCGAGGTGTTTTACTGAAGTCCGGGGAAGGATGACGAAGTCGGACTGGGGGCCCCATTTTATTGCTTGCACCAGAATCAAAATATTTATGCCGGAGGAATCCAATCCAATGAGCTACAAAGCTCTTTTTCACAGATGTTTCATAGTGGCGGGTCAGAAAGGTGACCCCCCCCGCCCCGCCCTCTCCCATCACTCCCGATGTTTTTTTGCGTTTAGTTTGTTGTCCTTCCCCCGCGCCTCCGATTAGCACGGGTGGCTATATATATACGGCGCGGAAGAAGTCCGACGTGCGTACGTAACGTAACGTTACATTGCCACCCCCGGCGCGACCCCCTTTGAAACGACCGCCTCCCTGTCGTGCAAACGCACGTGAGTCCGCAGGTTGGAGCGGAACGAGAAGGTGCGCCCGCACACGTCGCACCGGTACGGCCGCTCGCCCGTGTGCGTCCGCCGGTGCTCCTTGAGGTGGCAGGTCTGGCGGAAGGCGCGGCCGCACACCTCGCAGCGGTACGGCCGCTCGCCCGTGTGCGTCCGCACGTGCGTCTTCAAGTGGCAGCTCTGCGTGAAGGTGCGGCCGCACTCGTCGCAGTGGTAGGGCCGTGCCTGCAAGCGGGGCGGCGCCGAGGACGGGTGGAGCCGCGCACGGCGGCGCGCTCGCGTCGCCGCCGCCGACGCCGCCGCCGCCGTGATGGAGGGGCGCAGCGCTGCCGGTCCCTGCAGCGACGTGACGTCCTCTATGATGAAGCCGAAATGATTGCCGGCGCTTTCGCCTGCAGGTTTGGAGAAAAGGCTGTTTGTTAAGCTTTGCGATGGACAATTCCATTGCAACCTCATAGTTAAAATGAAATTCATCTTCTTGGTTCTTTCGGTAAAGTCACGTAGAATGGAAACAAAGTAATACAAATAAAACATAATAAAATAAAATTCTCACGACGTTTCAGCCACAACACAAGTAGCCTTCTTCAGGTGAAGGCACAGAACTGTCGTCCCGACACATCGTGAGAATTTTATTTTATTATGTTTTATTTTTATTACTTTGTTTCCATTCTACGTGGTGACTTTACCGAAAGAACCAAGAAGATGAATCCCTGCAGTCACGAAAGCTTTAAATCGAAATAAAATTCATCCTTATATCAATGGTTTGACACATATAAGAAATTGATTGTGCCATCACCATTCCAGTTTGTCTCGAGTACGTCCAACACCATGGTATTTTGAGCATTTCTCTTATTAGGAAAGGTAGATATTATATCCATCTAAATGAGTCCTTATTGGTTAACATAATATACCCAAGTTATAATCTGCATCATAATTATACTAATGACTATTCACATCTTCATAGCGTCTAAAATCGATGCCCCAAAGCGTCGAATTCCAATCGTAAATGCAAATACGTCTCTGGGAGAAAAAAACATCTTCCAATGGCCGTGGGGCGACATTAATCTCTGTCTGGTGGCCCTGAGCCGGTGTTAAATATCCAACATTCCTAAATGGAGTACCACACTGATTTCAGGATGAGTACCAAAACTCATCCTCACATCACGTGGCACACAAGTGATACTCGATTTAACTGACAGGTGAGACAAGGGGCTGTTAACACCCAAACTAAGTTTATAGTCAACTAAACGAGAAAGTTCCGGGACATTCTTTCTATTAGATAAATAATAAAACTGATCTATATATACGTATATAACAGCAACAAAATAAGTGTGGTTAGAGCACGTGCCTCACAATTGGATGGTTACAAGCTCAAATCCAGGTCAACTCAACTCTTCAGCCCGATACAGTTGCTCAAATGAACACCCCCCTCCCCACTTTGGGAACTCAACAGTAGTTTTCCTATACAGTGATAACTGATCTCCGTCATAATGCTGTGGAATTTCCAAAGATGACTCGATGAAGAAAGCTCTAAGAAGGATAGAATATGGGTTTTCCCCTTTTTTCTAGCAACAAAACTGAAACCTTTTTTACAAGGATTCATGTCTGCATTAACCACAATACCTGCAGTCAAAATGCAAACAAAAAACATACTATGATAATATATGCATTGTCCTTGAAACTGATTGGTCCACACCAAGGGACGGCTTTCTTTTGAGCCTCGACCCAATTAGTGCTCGACCAGATGACGCCAATTAGACCCAACCCGAAACATAAGATATAAAAAAGATTGTTTAAAAAGATAGATTTTTTTTTATTAAAAGGCGTCATTTATTAAAAGGCGTCATCTGGTCGAGCACAAATTGGGTCGAGGCTCAAAAGAAAGCCGTCCCTTGGTGTGGACCAATCAGTTTCAAGGACAATGCATATATTATCATAGTATGTTTTTTGTTTGCATTTTGACTGCAGGTATTGTGGTTAATGCAGACATGAATCCTCGTAAAAAGGTTTAAGTTTTGTTGCCAGAAAAAAAAGGGGAAAAACCCTATTATTACATTTTGGTACTGGCAAAGGAGGTCTAATGATGTAGATACTCTAAAAAGGATGTTTAGCAAAGAGGCCAAGAGGCAGCAAAAGAAGGATGCTGCTTGATGACTTGAAGGCAAGAGGGTCAACACAGGAAAATAAAGCTCAAGATTAGACAGGAAGGATGGAGGGAGTTAGAGCAGAGGACCTGCCATTGTGCAGGAGACTAAAGAGAGTGAACCGATGTGTTAAAACCTGAATGTTTTTCGGTAATCGCCGTGTTATTGCTGTGGTGGAGAATACTCACCATACAGCGAACCATCCACATTCTCCTCGTTTCTTCTGGACTGCTCCTCCTCATCATCGATGATCTCAAGACCAAGTTCCGCCACGCCCTCACACGGAACATCACCATTCGCATTGTCCCCACAAACTTCACCACCTCCATCACCACCACCATCACCTCCCAGCCTCCGCGCAGACAACAGCAGCTCCCGGCTCAAGCCGCTGAACAGCGTGAGCAGCACTTCCACCAGGCCTCCCAGCGTCAGGTCGCCGGGGGAGGCGGCGGCCGCGTCGTCCCAGCGCGGCGTCCCGGCACCATCGTGGGGCTCGGCACCCCGTAGGGCCTTCACCACCTGCCGCAGCACGGCGTAGAAGCCGAAGGGCAGGCGGTCGCGCGCCGTGGCCAGCAGCTCGGCCCGCACGAGGCCGTCCCCGACGCAGGCGCGCAGGACCCCGTAGTCCCGGATGCCCAGCTCCGAGTCCATGGCCCGGGCCACCTCCGCGTTCACGCCCTGCGTCTCCAGCCACGCCGGGAAGTCCCCGCTCGGTTCCAAAACAGCGGCGCAAGCCATTTCTGTTAACAAATACTTTCACTGTAACCACACTGCTCCGTTTACCACTGTTTTGTTTGGTATCACGTGTAAAGTTACATGTTAGTTGGTGGACTATTCAGGTTGCAAATTGTGCTTGCAAAATAAAGATGAATATAAAATAGGGTATTCCACTCAATCATGCCTATTATGCATGCTGCTTCTATAATTATTAGACACGCTTAACTGCTTCGTTTAGGAACAGCCATGTCTTCCATACCACTGTGAGTAAATGTTTTGTGTGCAGGCTAATTTACATGTTTTGCATTGCCCATGGGTTTGTTTTATCCAAATAATCTTCAGTACCCCAAATAATCGACTGAATGTAATATATTTACGACTGAATGTAATAATTACCTCGAGCATAAAAGCACAATTTTTATCTTGGTGAAAACTGTTTTCCACCAAATATTGGCATAAGCTGCCTTTTTTACAAACAGCTGTATCAGACCTTGTATTTGACAAGAAATCTAGGGCCCACAGAACACAACTCTGGTCTATACTTAAATCTTTGTCATTTGGTTTTAACTAATGCAAATTGTCAACCTACTGACCACTGCCATGGGGATATGGATTCACCACCACTTGCTAAGGAAGGTCACGAGGAGGCAGCCCATAACTTGGGATCAAGGGACGAGGTCACGGGGGTCAGAAACCTGCGGCTCCAGAGCCACATGCGGTTCTTCTAGGACTGCTTCGTGATGTTATTCATTGTGGCTTTTAAAATATTTAGGTTTGTTTTTACCGAATTCGAACAAAATGCCTCTTCTTGTTTTGCTTGCCGATCCCTGGATGATAATAACGCAAACCGATGCAACAGGATCCCCAAAAAGATATATGGTACAATACAACCACGTAAAAATAAAATCCTGTCCAATAATAAACTCTCTCTCATCTGGGCGGTGCTTATCGACGTTTGCGGGCTCTGAACCCATGAATATTCCACATTCACTCGGCAGGTAAACGAAACTTCTATTTACCAGGTAAAGCCCACCGAGTTATGATCCAAATTGACCATTCCCAACACTCATTGAGGTGTTCTACACAAGGTGGTTTCTGAATTGTTGGATGCACACTTACAAAATGTTCATCGTAAAAGAGCTGTACTAAACTATATTAACCAATTTTTTATTTTACCAGGTAAGGCCAACCGAGCTGTAGATCTCTTTTTGAGAAGCAACCTGGCCACAAATGATCGCTCAACGAAGTGGCTTATCACGTGGAAAATAGTTTCGCAGCCAAATAGTCAAAATGAATGTTTCTCTCAACGTGCAGGCAAGAACGGGAAGGCCGGCAATAATCCATGTGACCACGGGGACAGACAGCGCGAAACTCCAACGATACAGTGGGCGTCAGTGTCGGGATGGAACCCACGACCTCCTGCACACCACCAGGCTTTTATAGCTTTATTTTGGTGATTTTGAAAACGTTTTGGTTTAGCCATATTTGTTTGTTGTTGTACAGAGTGAGACTGATTACTTTCATCTAAATTGTCTTATGGTTGTTATTGTTTGCCTTGCATCCCACTGGGATTTTTGCACACAGCGTTGGTGTACGGTGCTTTCTCTGGAAGACTTTGCCGGTTTTTTTCCCTGGATTTTTCTGTTTGCGCGTAGTCACTTTAAGATGTTTTTCTTGTTCACGTTTTTGTTTGTTGCGGTTGCACCCGATTCAAGAGCCGAATGGCTCACATGGCTATACCAAAATAAATGAAACCTTAAACTGAAATAACATCTCGCCACCTGGTATGCTCAAGGAATAGCGGGGGAGAGGGGGGGTTAAAAAAAGTCTATCCACAGTACAGTATTGCCAACAAAAACCAAGGTGATAACAGGACCCATTAAAGCTCGCTCGTGAATAACAATAGTACGGTCTAAGATCGCATCATCGGGAATGTGTCCCCCGTGTCTTCGTCAAATCTCCGAAGCTCAGCCGTGCTTTGAGAGCCTGGATGGTGGGGTTGGTGGTGGTGGTGGTGACCACCATCCACTAAGGAGGGCTGCTGCTCCAAAATTGTCGCAGAGTTCCAGATGAGCACATATCCTCGCACCACCGATTGGCACGGTTTGCTACGTACGGTGCGAACGAAGTTGAACACATACACACACATACACGCGACTTCGCCTTCCACCAATTCGCACGGTGAAGTTGCGTGGTTCAGTAGCATTCGCGAACCCGAGCAGACGCGTGCTGGGGGAGGTTTGGCAGGAGGCCTTCATCCGCACTTTAAAAAAAAAAACACCGACAGACAAGAAGATCACATCATCCTTTCCCTCAATTGCATTTCGTTCATTGACACGGTCGCTTGCTTGCGCCTTTTGTAATAATAAACATATATACATACACACACGCGCACGCGCGCACACAATACTTACCGGTAGTTATATCTTTGTTTGTAAAGCGACTCGGAATCGGTGCAGGCAATGACGGCCAACTCGTTCTCTTTGCGGCTTTTGTTAACGCGCGCGGGAATTCGTTTCGTCGGAAGCCTTTGGCTGGTCCTCCCCGGCCAGGAGGTGGGGGGGGGTTAACAAACAAATAAAAAAAATAAACCTCCTCCTCTCTTCCTCTTCTTCCTCCTCCTCTTCCTCCTCCTCTCTTCCTCCTCTTCCTCCTCCTCTCTTCCTCTTCTTCCTCCTCCTCTCTTCCTCTTCTTCTTCCTCCTCTTCCTCCAACCGCCACCGCCACCAGATCCTCGAGGACAAAACGAAATTTCCAGCGGCGCACGGCGGCGGAAGTCGGCGGCGCGAGACGGCGCCGGGACGGACATCTTACGTAGGGGGAGAGGAGGGGGGTGGGGGAGGGGGGTGGGGGATGGGGGGGTAGGGGAGGGGAGGGGTGAAGGGGAGGGTGTAGGGGAGGGGTGAAGGGGAGGGTGTAGGGGAGGAGGGAGTAGGGGAGGGAGGTAAGGGAGGGGTTTAGAGGAGGAGGGGTGAAGGGGAGGGGGTAGGGGAGGAGGGGAGAAGGGGAGGGGGGTCGGGGAGAAGGGGAGGGAGGTAGTGGAGGGGGGGTAGGAGGGGTAGGGGCGGAGGGGAGGAAGGGGTAGGGGAGGAGGGGTAGGGGAGGTAGTGGAGGGGGTTAGGGGAGGAGGGGTAGGGGAGGAGGGGTAGGGGAGGTAGTGGAGGGGGTTAGGGGTGGATGGGAGTAGGGGAGGAAGGGGTAGGGGAGGAGGGGTAGGGGAGGTAGTGGAGGGGGTTAGGGGAGGAGGGGTAGGGGAGGTAGTGGAGGGGGTTAGGGGTGGATGGGAGTAGGGGAGGAAGGGGTAGGGGAGGAGGGGTAGGGGAGGTAGTGGAGGGGGTTAGGGGAGGAGGGGTAGGGGAGGAGGGGTAGGGGAGGTAGTGGAGGGGGTTAGGGGAGGAGGGGTAGGGGAGGAGGGGTAGGGGAGGTAGTGGAGGGGGTTAGGGGTGGAGGGGAGTAGGGGAGGAAGGGGTAGGGGAGGAGGGGTAGGGGAGGAGGGGTAGGGGAGGTAGTGGAGGGGGGGGTAGGAGGAGTAGGGGAGGAAGAGGTAGAGGAGGTAGTGGAGGGGGTTAGGGGAGGAGGGGTAGGGGAGGAGGGGTAGGGGAGGTAGTGGAGGGGGTTAGGGGTGGAGGGGAGTAGGGGAGGAAGGGGTAGGGGAGGAGGGGTAGGGGGGGTAGGGGAGGTAGTGGAGGGGGGGTAGGAGGAGTAGGGGAGGAAGAGGTAGGGGAGGTAGTGGAGGAGGTTAGGGGTGGAGGGGAGTAGGGGAGGAGGTTTCGGGGATGAGGGGTCGTGGTATGGGAGCGGCCAAACCGAAATCCCCACCGCTCTCGTTCCTAACGTTACGCAGGCGGTGGGGGATGGGTGACGGACCGACTCCCACCACCACTAACCCCTTTCTTCTTCTGCTGCTACTGCGTTATCCCGTTAGCAAGTTGCTGTGGGCGAGTTAAGCACGCGGCCACCATACCCGTCAAACCCAGCCGGTTTATGCGCTCCCGTGTTCTCGTGCAGGGAAATTTAGTTTTCAGGCGCGTACATCCATTTCAGTACGGGCAAAAACTAAAAAGTGTTGTCTATTTGTGTTCCCCCCCCCCCTTGTTGATGGGACTTTGTAGGATAAACGTTGAGATGTTTAAGTTTCACGGGGAGGTGATCAATAAGGTCTGCAACAAGGGTGGCCACTGATAAAGGGGTGCACAGGTACGAGCGCCTATGACGGCACACGAGAGAGCCGTGGGTGGCACGGCGCGCGAGAGGGCCGTGGGTGGCACGGCACACGAGAGGGCCGTGGGTGGCACGGCGCGCGAGAGGGCCGTGGGTGGCACGGCACACGAGAGGGCCGTGGGTGGCACGGCGCGCGAGAGGGCCGTGGGTGGCACGGCACACGAGAGGGCCGTGGGTGGCACGGAGAACGAGAGGGCCGTGGGTGGCACGGAAACCCACACTTCGACCACGACGGCGTTGCCCCGACTTCACGCTCCCCACCACCACCACCCTGCCCGCACCAACATGGCGATCGGACGCGTGCTCGTGCGTCTGCTGTTCGCGTGACACAGTCCGCCCGTGGCTTGCCACAACAGAGGTTTTAAACCTTCGTTCTTAGAGGACCTTTGTTTGCAGCCAACAAGGGCTTCAGAAATAAAATTGGACATCTGTGAAAAAAGCTTTGTAGCTTATCGAATTCCTCCAGTATAAATAAAGATTCTGAAAACGTTCACGGTCCGACATGGCTTGCCATAACAGAGACTTTAAACCTCCGTTCCTAGAGGGCTTTGTTGTACATGTCACATCCAATAAGGGCTTCGGAAATAAAATTGGACATCTGTGAAAAAGAGCTTTTTAGCTCATCGGATTCCTCCAGTATAAATAAAGATTCTGAAAACGTTCACGCTCACCGTGGCTTGTCGCAACAGAGATTTAAACCTCTATTCCTAGAGGGCCTTTGTTGCAGATGTTGCAGTCAATAAGGGCTTTGGAAATAAAACTGGACGTCTGCGAAGAAGAGCTCAGTAGCTCATCGGATTCCTCCAGTATACATAAAGATTCTGAAAACGTCCGCGGTCCACCGTGGCTTGTTGCAACAGAGATTTAAACCTCTATTCCGTGAGGGCTTTGTTGCACATGTGTCATGACCGAAAAATTACCCCAAACTATTATGCAGCCTCATGTCTATTTGAAAATAAACAAAAGGTCTCCAATTAATATAAAGAGGCCCTCCACGGTGATTGGTCGAGAAGCAGACTTTTAAAGGGATTAAACGAATAGATTTGAACGAGATCAATCAGAAAACAGAAAGTATCCGTTAGAGGGGAAGGACAGGGATTGACTAAGGGAAAAAGGACAAGGTTCCAGAAAGGGGGCTCGAGGAATATAAAAGGAGAGCACGAGGAGTGGGGACAGTCAGAGGAAGTTACAAGCTGAAGACAAGCACAAAGCCTAGGGTCCCGCAATTGTGGCTGTGTCCCAATAAAGTGGCTCTTAAAACATCGTCGCCAGAGTCATTACAGTGGTGTCAGAAGTGGGGTATTAAATGTCACGCCCAAGTCCCCCGAAGATTTTCACCCATGATATCCGACGCCGAAGAAACCCTAGAATGTCTCGGGAGAAGAGGACCCGGAAACCAACCTCTTGGTTGCGGGAGAGGCAATCGCGGTGCTGGCTGAGTGGGAGCCCCAGCAGCTACAACCACTGGAGAGCCTGCCCGCAGAGATGCTGCTGGAGGGGTGGATTGACTGCCTCGCCGCCGCGGCCTCCCAGCTGGTGGTGCAGCTCGCCGCAAAGGAGGGAAGATCTGGAGCGGCAGCATTGGCGGCCGGAACCACGGAACCGGCAGTCATAACTGCCCCGTCAAAAGCGGGGGGAGCCTTGGAACCGAGGCCGCCCAAAGCAACCGGGGCGAGGGCAAGAGCGGCCGACCGACCTCGCCGGCTGGGGCCGGTGAAAGAGTTTGTGGCAGCGGGCGGCGATTGGGGGGCCTTCGTCAGCCGATTCGAGGCTGCGTACCAGGCTCTCGACTGGTCGGAGGCCAAGGCACTGAAGGCCTTGCCGACGGCTCTTGATGACGAGGCCCTTGCCATCTTCAGGGCGATACCGCCGCGGCGGAGGACCACACTCCAGGCAGCCTGTCGCGGGATGGCAGAGGTCTTCAACCTGCCATAAAATGCCAAAAAGACATTTCAGCAGCGCCCGCGGGAGGAAGCCGAGTTGCCCCTCACATACCGCAGTGCCCTGTTGGCACTCGGCCAAGCAGCTTACCCTCGCTCGGGTCGAAGCAGCGCTGGACTTGCTCATCTTGGTAATAATGATGGAGATGGTCCAAGAGAGGGCGGTGGTACTTACAAGAGTCAAAGAGGAGGCTCAAACCTCCTTGTGGGTGGCCCTATGCCTGCGGGCCCACGAGGAGATGAGCCAGTGGACCCGGGTGGTGGCTCGTGGTGGAGAGGAGCCCCAACCCCATCGGCTGCGCATCCTGCCGGGGCTGCCAGGCGGGAAGCGCTGTTGGCGGGGCCTTACTCGCCGCGACAGCAGTGGAGGTCGACGAGAGTCCGCGGGGGGAGGTGATGGCGGTCGTTCATGAGTGGACGAGGCCTAGCAGGTCAATCCCGCAGCGGCAGTGGGAATGGGAGCTTAGGAGGGAGACGGCAACTCCGCGACAGGGCCCGACTATCACCTGTCATCACTGTGGTCGGCCGGGGCACATCACGTAAATCGATGAGCGTCAGGGATAACGGGACCGAGAACTCATCGTAGAAACGTCGGGACGCGTTTCTCCACGGTGGCCCGAGTCCAGCAACCAGTGTACGAAGCCGGCTCGACGGGTCATAGCGGCAGCCACGGGAACCTCGGTCGTGATGAGCTTCAGTAGGAGTGACGGTTCGCATATTAATTGATACGGAAGCGTCGGCTACTGTTATTTCCAATTATATATTTGACATGTTACTGTCCAGCACTCGTTGTTTAGCGCCGGTTACGAACACATGTGGTGGCGAATGGCGGTTACATGGGGATAATGGAAAAAAGCGAATTAGGGAACTTGCTTCAACAGGACTCATTTTAGTTTCAAATACGCTAGCAGTTCCATGCCTGCTAGGAACCGACTTTTTGAAAAAATTGCTGCTACACAAGCTGACTGACCGATGCATTTTTTGTTCTAAATCCAACTGAAAAATGTACCGAGATGGGCGTGACAGTCAGTGAATCTGTAAATGTCCCTTCAGGCGCGCAAACGTTGATACCATTGAGATACCGAGTCGTCAGTTTTGATTGTTCCATGGTATGCAACGACTCGCAGATTGACGCTAACGGCAGCACAAACAGTCGTAAGCGCGGATCATAAACCATTCATTCAGGTGTTAAATGTCGGTGAGAGACCGATCGCTGTGCAAGCAGGAACCGTGATGGCACATGCGAGACCTGTATCCCATTGATGCGGAGGTCTCATCAAAATCGATAGGAGCGGGAGTTAATAGTGCGGTTCCGTCAGCAGAGGAAAGTTGACTAAACCAACTTTGTGACAAGGGGCCGTCCATAAATTTCGTCACGCGATTTTGGACGATTTTTGACCCCCCCCTCCCTCGTCACACGGCGTCACAAAAAGTCAGACCCCCCCTGAAATATTACGTCACAAAGTTCTGCCCCCTAACCCCCAAAAATTAAACATGCTTCAACTCGCTTTAAACTATTGTCATTGTAGTGCGTATTTCATGTGCCGCTGCACTCTGATGTTGTGCGAGAAAACATCAAAAAGTCTATTTAACTAAGTAGAACGTGTTGTCTATATTTAAAGTTGCGCATTTTGATGTGACGTCACATTTCTCAAACCCCCCCCCCCTCGT